CTACAGGCGCCCGCTGCCACGCCCGGCTGATTTTTTTTTTTTTTTTTTATTGTAGAGATGAGTTCTCGCTGCCCAGGCAGGTCTCGAACCCGCGTCAAAGGTGAGATTTTTAAAGACAGAGAAGTTCACAAGTTGTGTAACAAAAATTATGGTTTTGTTGCTTGTTGCAGGAGCTGGTGTTAGCTGGCTGGTGAGGTGCTGGCTGCTTGTCCAGAGAGCTGTGGTCTTGAGGACTTTCCTTGCCATAAGTCCATTGGGCAAATGTGAAGTCCATGCAGGAATGTCTTGTGATAAGGTCTTCCTGACTTCCCAACTCCGTTTTGTTAGGGGTGACCTACCTGATTCCAGGTTGTTACCTGTAACTTCCACAGCTGTTGTGGTTAAAACAGGATTGCGTTTTCACAACCGAGGGCCTGCTGTTCACTGCTACTGTATAAACCACGTCACCATGTCTGTACCATCTTGTTTTTTTCTCTTGAGTTAAAGTTATCTAGTATAGGTCAGGCTCGGTGGCTCAGCCTGTAATCCCAGCACTTTGGGAGACCGAGGCAAGTGGATTGCCTCAGCCCACGGATTCAAGACCAGCCTGAGCAACTTGGCGAGACCTAATCTCTACAATAAATTTTTTTTTTTAATTAGCCGGCTGTGGTAGCATGTACCTGTAGTTCCAGCTACTTGGAAGGCTGGGGCGGAAGGATCACTGGAGCCCAGCAGGTTGACGCTGGGGTGGCCTTGAGTGTGCCACTGCACTCCAGCCTAGGCAACAGTGAGACTCCAACTTGAAAAAAAAAAAATTACCTAGTATACAAGGGGGACCCAAAAAACCTGGAATTTATTTATGAAAGGTTATATATTTATTCTTATATCTTTAAACTTAACTCACCTTCCAAGTCCTCTCCATTGAATGCAGAACACCTATCGGGATGCTTTTTTTTCCACTGCTCAAAATAGGTTTTCTTTTTTTTTAGTTGGAGTCTCACTCTGTCACTCAGACTGGAGTGCAGTGGCCGCTCCCAGCTACCGCAGCCTCGACCTGCTCTGGCGATCTTTCCACCTCAGCCTTCCATGAAGCTGGAACTACAGGTGCGCTACCACACCCAGCTAATTTTTGATTTATTGTAGAGATGAGGTATCACCAGGTTGTCCAGGCAGGTCTCAAACCCGCAGGCTCAGGCAATCCACTAACCTCAGCCTCCCAAAGTGCTGGGATTACAGGCTGAGCCACCGAGCCCAGCCAGATCATGACTCTAACAGTCCTCCAAGGGGAAGAATGGCGCCTCTGTGGTCTCACAGCAAGAACCTGAACTTCCCTTTTAAGTGCCCGGGATATGGACTGAGAATAATCCCCCTGGACTAGCCTGGAACATACCCCCAGTAGTAATAAAAGTAAAGCCGGGAGCTATGCCCATCTGTCAGAAACAGTATTTCATTCCTCGCAAGGCACAGATTGGGATCCAAAAGCACCTGGAGAGACTCTTAAAATACAGGATCCTCTGACCCTGTCATTCATCCTGGAATATGCCACTACTGCCAGTTCAGAAACTGGGGACAGATGATTACAGGCCGGTTCTAAACTTACGGGGAGTAAATCAAGCCACCATTACTTTACACCCAGTTGTCCCCAACCCCTAAATTCTCCTAAGTCTCCTCCCCGCTGAAGCTGCCTTCTTTACCTGTTTAAACCTCAAAGATGCTTTTTTTGGTATCTGCTTGGCTCCTCAGAGTCAGCTGATTTTTGCTTTTCAATGGGAAAATCCTGAAAATGGCGATAAAGGCCAATTGACTTGGACTAGACTGCCACAGAGGCTCAAAAATTCCCCAGCCATTTTTGGTACAGCATCAGCTTCTGACTTAAAGACCTTTCCAGCAGATCAGTACAGTTGTACACGGCTCCAATATGTGGACGATCTGCTGCCAGCCGGGCGAACACGGAAAGACTGTATGAAGGAAACACAGCAGTTCCTGACATTCCTGTGGAAGGCCAGCTGCAAAGTTTCAAAGAAAAAGGCTGAGATCTGCAGAAGTAAAATACCAAGCAAAATACCCCGCTACTCTATCCCAGGGACAATGTCAGCTGTCAGCTGGCCAGGAAAGCAGGCAAGCTGTTTGCTCCATTCCAGTTCCAACCACCAGATGTCAGGTTTGGGAATTTCTTGGGGCCAAAGGGTTTTGTAGAATTTGGATACCTAACTTTTCACTGCTGACAAAACCTCTCTATGAGGCCACAAAGAGGGGAGAATGTGA